GCTCCAACATCCTGACACTTTTACTGTATTTCTTGTTTACTTACTTTTTTTTTTTTAAAGACAAAGTCTCACTATGTAACCCTGGCTAGCCTGGAACCTGCACTGTAGACCAGGCTGGACTCAGGCTCAGAGAGATCTGCCTGCCTCTGCCTCCCACTTGCTTGGACTTAAAAGGTCCATCCCGACTCAGGCCTTTTCTTTGGAGATAGTCTGGATATGTAGCCCAGGCTGGAAGCAAACTCTCCACCCTTTGCCTTAGCTTCCCTCCCCTCCAAAGGTAAGAGCTTTCTGCTATCCCCTTTCCCATAATGCCTGTTATAGATTTAGAATGTCCTAACAATCTCTCCAGCTGACTTCTCCACTAACAACACCATGTATAACAACAGAGACCTCGCCTTTATTTCTAGTTCTCTTCCCCAGGCACCTACAATAACGTCTGGAACATAAATCTTGCTCAATAAAAATTTCATGAATAAATTGCTAAATTGAGTTAAACGTGGAATAGGAAGCATGGCACTGGTGTGTGTGTGCGTGTGCGCTTGCACACACGTGCCCACACACACGCACACACTTATGTTCATACCCTACTCGCTGGAATCTGGTAGCATTCATCTATACAGCAAAAGCCTTGGGAGATGTGAGAATTTCCGGACTCAGCTGAGCATCTGGCCCACAGCACAATTAGCATCTGTGGACCTGTGCAACTCAAGACGGCTAGAGATGGAGCTCGATTGTCTGAGTGGCTCCTATGCAATCTCAAAGGCATTTATTTTTGTTTTTTTTTTTGGTTTTGTTTTTTTGGTTTTTTTTTGAGACAAGATTTCCCTGTGTAGCCCTGGCTGTCCTGGAATTTGTTCTGTAGACCAGGCTAGCTTCAGAGATTCCCTGCTTCTGCCTCCCAAGTGCTGGGATTAAAGGCGTGCACCACCACAGCCCGGCCCCACAATGGCATTTATAAGAGGACACAGGACACAGAAGTTACTGCGAGAAAGTGGTGATGACAGACAGATGTGCTTTTGAGTGGAAGATGGGTCCCCCAGCCAAGGGGTGCAGGCAACAATTAGACCCGAAAGAGGAACAGATTCTGCCCTGAGCCGCCAGCAGGAAGCCGTTCTGCGCACTCTGCCTTTGCTGAGTGACAAGCTTTGGACTTCTCACCTCCAGAATTGTGAAATAATAAATGTGGGCTGGAAGCTTCTAAGTGTGAGAATTTTATAATGAGTAATAGAAAGTGTAGGTGTGCAATCCCAGCACCAAGGAGGCTAAGCCACGAGAACCGACATAAGTGTGAGGTCAGCCTGGGCTATGTGGCAAGTGAGGCTAGAAAGATGGCTCGCGGTTAAGAACACTTGGGGGAGACCCAGGTTTGGACACGAGCACCCACATGGTGACCCACAGTGACTCATTTCAGGGGATCCTGCGCACACGCACAGATGAGCATAACCTGGAGAGGCTAATATTTGTGCTGACTGTAATGCAATGCCCACTGGTTTGCAAATATTAATCCTCCCCTCAGTTCAGAGCAATAGAACAAAAAAACAAGCACCTAAGCTGGGCATGGTAATACTTTCTGGAAATCTCAGAACTTGGGAGGCTAATATAGGAGCACTGGGAGATCAAGGCCCGCCTGGTATAGATCCAGTCTCAAAACAATTACAACCCCAATCCAAGGCCTATTGAGAGGCTGAGGTATAAGGATTGCCAAGACTTCAAAGCAACCCTGGGCAACAAAGGGAGACCCTGTTTCAAAAAGCCAAATCAAAACCAGAGTAATAGAACTTTTTTTCTTCTTTTCTTTTCTTTTTTCGACACAGGATTTCTCTGTGTAGCCCTGGCTGTCCTGGAGCTCACTCTGTAGGCCAGGCTGGCCTTGAACGCAGAGATCCACCTGCCTCTGCCTCCTGAGCACTGAGATTAAAGGTGTGCACCACCTTTACTACTTTAATACTGCCCAGCAGTATAGAACTTACTGGGCAATACAAACATGTTCTCAGCAACATTTGTACCTGGTTCTGGTGATGTGATTTATATTCTAAAAACATTAGAGCAAAAATCACCTATAAAACTTGAACTGCAATTTAGGGGAAGGGCAAACTGATCCAAGGGTGTGGCCGTGGAAGTGGCAGAGGGCCATCTTGAGTCACTAGACGAGGGCAGTATCCTAGGGAAGGGACAGCACTTAAAAACCAAAACAAACAAAAACCCCACCCTGGATCTTTTGACTTCATTGGACAACTTCATGCCAACTTTGACTTACTTTTTTTTTTTTAAAGATTTATTTATTTTTGATGTATTCAGTGTTCTGCCTGCATGTATGTCCACATGCCAGAAGAGGGCACCAGATCTCATTATAGATAGTTGTGAGCCACTATGTGGTTGCTGGAAATTGAACTTAGGACCTCTGGAAGAGCAGCCAATGCTCTTAACCACTGAGCCCCTAACTTAGACTTCTAAAGGTTAGTCCTGTGAACTCATAGCCATCCTCTGCCTCAGATTCCCGAGTGCTGAGATTTCAAGCATGACGCATACCCAGAAAATGTTTCATTTTGTCTTTTCGAGACACAGTTTCTCTGTGTAGTTCTGCTTGTCCTGGAACTTCCTTCTGTAGACCAGGCTGGCCTTGAACTCAAGAGATCCACCTGCCTCACCTCTGCCTCCTGGTCAATTATATTCTCATCAGTTCCCTGGAACAAGAGCGGCACTTATAACCCCTTATAAAAATGCTTCCTCTCTAGATGTGGCTGTAGGAAGCCTATGTCTACTGACATCTTGGGAGCGCTGACTTAGTTGTTCATCTTTCTTTTCCCCAATCACCTTGACTAACTGAACAGACTTTTTGGGAATCACTATGAATGCTTTTTTACAAAAGGCATGCACTGGCCAGGCAGTGGCGGTGCATACCTTTAATTCCAGCACTCAGGAGGCAGAGACCAGAAACTCTGAGTTGGAGGCCAACTTGGTCTACAGAGGGAGTCCCAGGACAGCCAAGGCTACACAGAGAAACCCTGTCTTGAAAAAACAAACAAACAAAAAAAATCAAAGCAAACAAAAGGCATGGACTGTACACTTGATATGGCTTTGTTGCAAAGACGAGTTAATAGTTTGTGTTATGGTGTATGTATATGTGTGCGCATGTTCATATCTGTGTGGGTGCAGGCAGAGGTCAGAGGACAACCACCTTCCACCTTGTCTCTTGTTTCCCAGGCTAGCTGGCTCTCAGGCTCTTGGGGACTCCAGTGTCCAACTCCCATCTCCCCACTGGGATGGCACATGTGCACACCACACATGCTTCATGTGAGCTCTGAGGATCTGATCATAAGAAATTGGACAAAGACAGCAAATGGGTCAGGAGTGAGCCTATAGACCAGGCTGGCCTCGAACTCACAGAGATCAGTCTGCTTCTGCCTCCCAATTACTGGGATTAAAGGCGTACACCCGTCTCTTACACTCAGTGATTCTACTACTTTCAGGGAGTTCGTGTGATGCCCAGCACATATAAACTTCCTAAAATGAGCCACTTTATGCTGAGGGGAGAGGCTGCTCCCTGGATACCAAGCAATCCTGATGCTCGCTATGGAAACCTAGGCTCTCTAACCCACTGTTTTCCAGTTGAGATCAAAGCAAGTCCCATATACAGACAGCAAGAAGCATGCAATCTAGGACCAATACGCCAGCTGTTGGCTGGCCACCAGCCAAATGACGATGGGCAGGGGCCACTTGGCCAGTCTCCCATTCTGTCCCTTCCCAGATGGTCAGGAAGTGTACGAGGCTGTCTCCTCTGGCTCTGTCAGGACTCAGCACAATTACAGGCAGTGCTGGCTGAGCAGTGGGGTCTTGTGAAAGCAGGATGGGACAGGGTGACTGGAAAGCCCTAGAGATCAAAGCCAAGGACCACAGAATCTACCCAAGCCTGGGTCAGGAGCAGCTTCCTCCTGAACCATGCATGTGTCCTCATGAAAAGCTACATCCTTCTCTGGAAACTAGGCACCTGGAGGAGAAGCTCTTTAGAATTCGGAATCAGGGACCAGCGAGATGGTTCAGCAGGTAAGAGCACTTGCCACACAAATCTGGCAACCTGAGTCTGACCTTGGAACCCACAAAGGACAAGGAGAAGCTAGCCTTAAAAGTTAACCTCTGACCTGCATGCCTGAACACACACACACACACAATTGGGGGGGGGGGTGCGGACAGGGTTTCTCTTGGAGCTTTCTATGTAGACCAGGCTGGGCTCAGACTCAGAGATCCACCCACCCCAGCCTCCTGCATTCCGGGATTAAAGTCACCATACCAGGTTATACACCATTTCTTTTTCACTCCTGAGACACAGTCCTTCCAAGCAGCCCTGGATGGCCTGGAATGTGCTATGTGGTCTAGGCTGGCCCTGACACAGAATCAGGACCTGCAGGCAGCTCGCGTGTCTTGTAAAAACCAGGTTCCAGGCTCCTTTGCCTACTTCCACTGGACAGTACCCATAAGCCAGGCAGCGGCCACTGTGGGGATGGGTCCCTAAACACCCCTCTTATATATAAAAGGCAGTGCCCATCTCAGGTCACAGGACCTGTCCCGCTGGCTTCTCTCCCTGGCAACTTCTTACGACCTGTCCCTAGCACATTTAACATTCCACATGAATGCCCCACTGAGAACTACTCTTCCTGTCTGGTCACGTGTTTCTCGATGTCTCTCCCTCTTGTCCTCAGGCATGCCACTGGTACCTCTCACACACTCACCTCGCCCGCCCGTGGCCCAGCACTGGGCTAGGCAGCTGATAGTTTCAGGGACATGGATCCCAGTGAGTGTGAGCTCTCCTTGGCCCTCCACAACCCCCCTGAGAGCCAGCCTGCTGTGGTTGCACTTCTACAGAAGTCTGGTCTGAGCCTGTCTAGACTGGGTCTGGCAGCAGTAATGGCCAGGGAGAAGGGAGAATGGATGCTTGGCGGTCTGGGCCAGCCTTTTCAGGAACACACAGGCAGGAGTGTGCCAAGGTTTTTTTTTTTCTTTCTTTCTTTCTTTTTTTTTTAATTTTTTACAAAAGCATGTGTCCCAGACAAACAGGACATTGCAAACTCTCTCCCAGGCCTTGTGGCGTGAAGGGGAGGACTCCAGGAATGAGCAGCTGCCAGCCCCACAAGAGCCATATGCCCTCTGCACAGGGCCAGCGTGAGAGTGGGTTCGGCTGGAGGCCTGCCCTGCCTCCACAGACGCTGGGTCTCTGCTTCTCCCAGTGCCTGCAAGGGAAGGAGAGAGAAATGGGTCTGACAGGAGACAGGAAGGCCAGTGCCAGGGATGGGGCGTGTCCACCATATCTCACCAAGAACATGTGGTATTATCCAATGGTTATGGTGATGCCAATGATGACCGCCAAGATGAGCACAGTGACAGAAACACAGATGGCAATCATGACTTTTTTCTGTGAGAGAGGGAGGGTCATGGAAAGTCGCTCTGGAGAGCCCACGGCTGGGGCAAGAGACGAGGCTTACCTTCCTCGCCTTCTTCTGGTTCTCTAGGGCCATCTTGACATGCTCTTGCCCACGCTCCACATAGTCTGCTGAGCTCAGGATGTTCTTCTCAATCCGGTTGATCATCTCCCCCTGCTCAGGAAAGGGACGGTTCAGAGAGGATGGATAACCAGGCATGGACGCAGGGAACAGTTACCCTGCCCTGCCCAGCCTAAAATGATCAAGATAGTCATTGTTGTTTTTGTTTTTCTTTTCTTTTTTTTTTTAAAAATATTTACTTATTTATTATTATACAATATTCTGTCTGTGTGCATGTCTGCAGGCCGGAAGAGGGCACCAGACCTCTTTACAGATGGTTGTGAGCCACCATGTGGTTGCGGGGAATTGAACTCAGGACCTTTGGAAGAGCAGGCAATGCTCTTAACCACTGAGCCATCTCTCCAGCCCTTTGTTTTGTTTTTCAAGACAGGATTTCTCCCTGTATCCCTGGCTGTCCTGGAACTTGATCTGTAAACCAGGCTGGCCTTGAACTCACAGAGAAATGTCTGCCTCTGTCACCACTGCCTGGCTAGTCAAGGCATTCTTGGCAGAAAAAACTAACTAACAAAGATCTGGCAGGACAACAGCTGAGAAATGTTCAGAGTAAGCACTGCTTCCAGGCCCCAGCACTGTCATGTTGTCCCTTCTCTCTGGCCCTGTGTCCCATATACCCTCCATCTGTAGCGGAGGCCTGCAGTCGGTGCCTCGTAAGGTAGCACCTTTCTCACAGACAGTAAACTTCTGTCTGAATTCACCCAGTCTAGGCCTGTCTCCATCCCGCTCCCTGCCTCCTCCTGGTATTCCCACTCGATCACAGCCCTGTCCCATGACTGCCAGCTGCAGAAGAGACTGGCTGCAGCACCGTGGAGTTCAGATCAGGTCGGGACAAGGCTGGAAGCTCACCTGGAGCCCTACAGCCAGGCCTATGGGCACCACTCCAACCTTCTAGAGACTGAGAGGCTGGCCCTGTAGGAACAGCTCTCCACAGCTCTAACAGCACTAAGGGGGGGGGGTCTGTCACAGCAAGAGAAGCCATGATCAAGGCCATGCCCAGGTGACATGCGGGCTGGAGGCACAGGTGGGACCCTATGGATCAAGGAGTGACACTGAGGTGACTGTGGAGGTGGAGAGAGTTCGGCTAAGGATGGGGAGGGGCACGTGGGAGCATGCCCCATCTTGGAAGAACATAAAAGCCCAGGTAAGTGTCTTAGGGTGGAACTTAACTCCAGGTCACAGCAAGGGCTTCAGGCAGCACAGGGCTTCCCTGGGTACCCACCTGCATCTCCACCTCGGTCGCTAGAAAAGTGAAGATCTCATGGAGCTCCCGGATGCTGCGCTCCAGCTGCTGGATCTCACTGTGTCGTGCTGAGATCTCATTCAGGGCCTGGCGTGTCACTTGTGTGTCCTTCAGTATCTGGAGGGCAGACAGGAACGGGTGAAGATGTTACAGGGATGTTACAGCAGCTGGTCCAAAGCTTCTGCTGAGCTTCTGGAACTGCCCTCTAAGCTATGACCCCAGCATTCCAGGCCATTCCTGTCTGGGCCTTGGTCTGTCCTCCACACAAAGAAACCAGGTCTCAAAGATGGAAGGCCCCAGAGGGTCGCTGGCTGTGGTCACTCACATTGGACACGAACACTTCACTCTGCCCGCTGTCCAGCATCTGCTCCAGCTCCTCATCAGACACCATCCCAGCATTGGCTGTAACAGGAAAGGTCAGGTCAGAGCCGAAAGCCAGTTCAGCGCTCCCAAGCCGGCTGGGCGAGGGGGGGCAGAACTCACTGATTCTCAGCTGCCTGCGGATGCGCTCCACGTTCTTCTCGCGGTACTCCGACTGCATTGAGTTGCACTTGTTGATGAGCTCGACAAACTGCTGCGACAGGACCCCGTGCTAAGAACAGAAAGTCTGGCTGGGCATCAGCAGGAACTACCTGGACGTGCCAAGGCCACAACCACCTCGGGACCTTGGCAGGTTCCCTCACTCCTCGAACAAAAGCCAAAGGTCTTGTCAGGGCCCCCATTATGCCCATGACTTTGCTTCCACCCACACCTCCTCACTACTTCCCTCTCTCTCCTTCCTCTCCAGTAGCTTCTTCCTCAACAAAACATGCTCACATCAGCCTCTGCACACTGTTCCTTCTGCCTAGAATGCTCATCCCCAAAGCACCTTTAAGTCTTCAATCCTTTATTTTATTTTTTAAATTTGTATTATTATTATTTATGTGTATGGATATTTTGCCTGCATGTCAGACCCCTGAGACTGGAGTTACAGAAGACTGTGAGCCACCACGTGGGTGCCGAGAATCAAGGTCCTCTGGAAGGACAGCTGGCACTTTTAACTACTGGGACATCTCTCAGGCCTTACTTATTTTTTGTTGGTTAGTTGGTTTTGAGACCTAGCCGTACATAGCTCAGGATGGTTTGTTTGTTTATTTATTTATTTATTTATTATGTATACAATATTATGTCTGTGTGTATGTCTGCAGGCCAGAAGAGGGCACCAGACCCCTGGTTGTGAGCCACCATGTGGTTGCTGGGAATTGAACTCGGGACCTTTGGAAGAGCAGGTAATGCTCTTAACCTCTGAGCCATCTCTCCAGCCCGCTCAGGATGGTCTTAAGCTCACTGAGGGTGACTCCTTGATCCTGTCTCTACCTTCGAAGTGCTATGATTACTTGTCTGGATTCACTTCTTTTTGAGTTTTTTTTTTTTTTTTTTTTGAGACAGGGTTTCTCTGTAGCTTTGGAACCTGTCCTGGAACTAGCTCTTGTAGACCAGGCTGGCCTCAAACTCACAAAGATCTGCCTGCCTCTGCCTCTGGAGTGCTGGGATTAAAGACGTGCACCACCACTGCTTAGCTCTTTTTGAGTTCTTAATTTTGATCTTATTTTTACTTGGTTTGAGACAAGGTCCCATGTAGCCCAGGCTGGCCTCCTCTCATCACAGGTGTGCGCCAAGACGGAGCTGCGTTATGCGGTGGTGGGAATCTAACCTAGGGCCCTGTGCATGCTGGGCAAGCACTCTAAGAACCGATTGACACCTCCAGCCCTTAGTTATTTTTTAAATTTATTTGGAGGTGGGAGGGACTAGGGAGATGGCTGAGACTGTAAAAATGCTGGTTGCGCAAGCATGACAACCCATCGTCAAGGATCCCAGAACCTAGGTAAAGAGCCAGATGTGGTGGCATGCATGCTGCTGTAATCCCAGCATGTCTAAAGTGAGACGGGAGGCAGAGGCAAGAGACTCCTAGCGCAGCAGCAGACAGACAGACCCCACCACAGCAAGGGGAAAGCTGACCTCAACATGGGCACCGTGGCGGGCATATGTATCCGCACACATTCACACAAGAAACAAAGGATACTTTCTGTATATCGGCTAGTGAAACCAGGGCCTCCCAGGCTAAGTACAAAGTTCACCACTCAGATCTACTCTTCCCCTCATTTAAATGACACTCCTTCCCCTGCCAGCACTTTCCCTCCTTTTCTGCTGTTTTAACCCCTAGTACTTATTTGATTATAAAATAATTTAAGCCAGGTGGTGTGGCTACACCTTTAATTCCAGCACCGGGAAGGCAGAATGGAGGAGACCTCCAGGTCTGAGCGCAGCCTTATCAACATAGTGAGTTCCAATCCAGTGAGATTTTTAGTGAGACCTTGACTCAAATAGTAAAAAATAAAATACTGATTTAGTGACTGGTTTGCCCCACTAGAATGTAAATGTCTCAAGGGTAGAATTTTTAGTTTAAAAGTCTGGCACACAGTCACTCGGCGTGCACTGTTGAAGGCTGACTGACTGCCACTGCCGCTGTTTCGAAGGCAGGTACCCTCACCAGCTCAAGGGCACCATGCTACTACCGTGGGCAACAGGACCCTCTTACACCAATAACCACCACAGGTGCCCTCTTGCGGGTCCTGCTCCTCCCGATTCCTTCATAAGCACTTCTCAACTCCCACTTCTGCGTCCTTTCAAGACGCCCAAACCTCCCTCCTACTCCAGCCTTGACCTCCACAAATCCCAACCGCTAGTCGCTCTTCACTCTGCACCCAGAGGGGCCCTGTCAGGTCGCGTCAAATCTCCTCACTAAGACACTGCCTGATATGACTTCCACTTCACCGCTGCCCCACAACTCCTTCCTCTTAAAAGTGTTTTTTGAAATATATATTTTCATATTTTTAATTATGTGCACTCATCTGTGGGTAGTGCCGGCGCCTGAAGAGGTCAGAGGCCTTGCCCTAGAGCTGACAGATGGTTGGAAGCTACCTGACTTGGGTGCTGTGTCAGGGATCAGCAACAGCCGAACTGAGTTCCCCTGCAAAAGTGGTACAGTCCCTACATTATCCTTGTGTGTGTGTGCACAGAGGAGGGCATGTGCGCCATGTCACGTATGTAGAAGTCAGGACAACTTGCAGGAGTCAGTTCCCCTTCTGCCATGTGGATCAGTGACTGAATGAGGTTGTACGGCTTAGAAGCAGACACCTTTACTCACTGATCCACTTTGCCAGCCCCTCTTCATCTCCCGAATTCTATCTATGGAGTCAAGGATGTCCTTGCTTGTCATTTTGTCTTTTTATTTATTTTTTGGTTTTCCAAGATAAGGTTTCTCTGTGCAACAGTACTGGCTATCCTGGAACTGGCTTTGTAGACCACGCTAGCCTCAAACTTACAGGGATCTGTCTGCCTCTGCCACCATACCTGGATCTTTTAATTTTTTAATTTATGATCATGGGTGTTTTGCCTACATGTATATTTGTGTGAGATGTCAGATCCCCTAGATCTGGAGCTACAGGTGGTTGTGAGCTGCTATGTGGGTGCTAGGAATTGAACCAGGTCCTCTGGAAGAGCAGTCAGTGGTCTTAACCACCAAGCTATCGCTCCAGCCCTGCTTGCCAGTTTTTGTTTCTGTCTCTTCCCTGAAGAGAGCAATTAGGGACCAAGTCCTACACGAGAAATATCTTTGTTCCCTATTCAGTCCAAATTCCCCATTTCGGTTTTGGGAAAGTATGTCTCCCATAGCCAGGCCTATGTCACACCTGACACAGCGCATTCTCTTCGAAGGGAGGAGGCAGGGTGCTATAATGGACTGAGCACTGGAGACCGGGATCCTCTACCTATATACAAAGTTCTTTCTCTCTGTTAAGCACAAGCTTCTTCATATAGAAGATCATCAGGGCAGACAGAGATCCGAGAAACAAGGTCTCTAAGTGCGACGTGGTCACCACTCTGAAACCTAAGAAACACCTGATGAAATGCCCTAGCTCCAGGAAAGCGAAACCCACCTGGGTTTTTTTCATTCTTGTGTTGACTGAGTTATAATTCTCATCAGCTTCTTCCTTCGGGGGCTCTATGGCTGTGGGAGAAACACAAGGGTTGCTAGAAAGCAGGTTTTGCCCTGAGACTTCTAAAACTTGTTTGGGAGGCCAGCTGATTTCTGTCTGGGCTAGCATGATCTATATATTGTGTCTCCCAAAAATAATAAAAGATTTAAAATGTATAATACAAAAATTTAAATAAAATTTAAAAAATTGTTTGGGAACCAGAACCCAGGGCCACATCCAACTTTCAGCTACATAATAAGGAGGTTCTTGTCTTCACAGAATTTTTATTACAAAGTGACTTATGAGCAGGGATGTATTTTAGTAGTGACACATAATGATGGCAGAGGAAGAGAGAGGAGGGGGGAAGAAAAAAAAGGAACTAGGAGGAGGAGGGAAAAAGAAGGAAGTGAGATCAGTCAGTCAGCTGGCATGGTTGGGGCAGGCCTTTAATTTAGTCTCAGCACTCAAGAGGCAGAGACAGATGGATCTCTGTGAATTCGAGGCCTGCCTGGATTACATAGAAGGGAGAGGTGGGGGAGGAGGAGGCTAATTCTGAACTTCTAAGAGAAGTTTTTCTTTGTATTACACCAGTGGGTTCCCTCAAGTTTGAAGAGGTTCCCTAAGAAATCCCTCACCTGTCTGCTCAAAGAATACACACTGGACCAAGAACTAAAACAGTAAGGAGCTTTGAATTTAAATTTAAAATAATAATAAAGGAATCTGAGAGGCCAGCATGTGCAATGAAAACTACCATGGCTTGGATGCCACAGGGCAGAGATCCTAGACCCAGGCCTGCTGTGTGATCTGGATATATCACTTGATTGTGTAGGCAACAACTCCCCAGCAACAAGGCTGAATCACAGGGAATGACCTGGCCGAGGCCCTTGAAATTCATTCACCTTTTAGCTGTGCCCGGACCTCTCTCCCCAGCTGTTTGATCTCTTCGCGCAGGTTCTGGAGGCCCTGCTTCATGCCTAAACGAGAGAAGGTCAACACTTCCAAACCACAGCCTCTACCACAAACCACAACCAAACCCACCCTGGCTAGCATCTAATATGGAACTACATCCCCCATAATCCACCGGGCTGACGTGAGCAAGCCCGGATTTCGCTTACTCTCCTCGGGAAGGGGCGTGGCCAGAATGGTGACCTGCTGTTTCTCCAACTCCCGGACTTTACTCTCCAGTTTGGCCATAGTTTGCCGAATTGTCTGGACCTAGGGAGGATCACCAAGGGAACTGAAGACATAAGTGGTACTGTAATCCTCCCTACTCCTCGGTCCCTCGGACCCTTACCTTCTGGAAGAACTCGTCGTCCGGGCTGCCCAGCCGGGCGGTACCTGGGTGCACCACCAGCGCGACTCGAACCTCATCTTCATCGTCCGAGCTGTTGTCCCCCTGCCAGGGCCGGAGTCATTGGCACTGCTTGCCTGCTGCGGTTCTCGACCCGCAGGAACCATGGGCTTCCGGGATTTTCCTTCCTGGCCATCAGCCACCCCTCCCGGACCCCAAACCAGGAGTCCTCAATCCAGGCGCGCCCGCCCGGCCCCAGCTTCTCATTCCAGCACCGCCCTCCTGGCCCCAGTTTCTCACCTGCCTCAACTCATGGGTCCTGTCGCGCATGGCGGCCGGAGCGCCCCGTCCCCGGACCTGAGCCCCGAGGGCCTCAAGGTTCTAAGTTTGGAACTCCTGCACCTCTCTCTCACACTTGACACCCCCTTCCTCACCCTGCGAACCCCAACACCCCCACGAACTTACAAAGGCCCCGCCCCTTTCACCATCCACAGCCGCCGGGAGGAACCCGACCATAGGACCCCCAAAGTTCTACAAGTTGGAATTCCCTTCTCTTCCCCCCATCCTGCTCCCTCAGTTGCGGCCCCGCCCCTCGGCGGATGATTCCGAGCATGCGCACGAAGTCCTGTCTCTTCCTCGCTAGAGGGAAAGGCGGAGGTCGGAAACAGTCGCAGCCGAACGGAAGCCAGGCTGCCTGGATCGAGAGCCCGCCCCCCCCCCCCCCTTCACCGGAACATCTCATATTAGAACTGAAATCTAGTTGCCCAAAGGGTTGGGAATGCGTCATTTGCACGCAGTCTGAGAGCCTCGTATCTCACATCACCCCATGGCGCCCCCTCATCACGTGACAGACCAGGCCCGGCTCCGCGGGCTGCGCTCCCGACAGCCAGTCACGTGTTCCGGCGCTGTCAGCGACGTCTCGGACTTCAGTCTCGCGACGTCCCCGACACCCCTGTGCCTTAGCTGTACCCCTAAAGCTTCTTAGAGGTGGGGAGGGGTGCACTTCCCACCCTCCGCCACCCACCGAGGATACCCTTGTAGAATTCACTTTTTGTTTTCATCTTGGGTCCTAGGGCGTGGGCAAACCGCAGACTTAACATTTGGGGACTGTCAGTATCATGGGACCTTGAGAGTCAGAAAATAATGAGATCCGAGTCCACCGCGTCAGAAGATTGCAGGGTTTTGTAGGCAGAGAATCTGGGGGTGGGAAGTGACCTCTGCCAAGGTGGAGCTCCCCCACACACACCCTGCGTCCTCTTGGCACAGCTTCTGACAGGTGGGCGGCCTACGCCCTGCATGATCACTGCAGTCCCGCTGAGCTCACCACCGTCAGAGCAGCTAGGACCGAGAGAAATAGATTGTTACCTCCGCAGCCCTGCCTGCCTTACAACTGAAGATCGAGCATGACTTGCTCTTCTTTCACGGACTCCCCAGCACCAGATTCGGCGCTTGGCATATAATAGACCCTCACAGAAGACTTGATCCGAGTACGAGCCCTTCATGTATCTGAAATTAAAGCCCGTGGCTTCCTGATCTTTAGGCTTCGCTCACTGTGCCATTTTCCCAGTTTTGTCTCTCTGGACATACGTTCACGTGACATATTTATTGGGTACATACTATGGAACAAATACTGTTTTAGGAGCCAGTGACACATCAGGGACCAACAGACTAAAACCCGATGCACTTGTGGGGCTTCCCTTGTCTAGAAGCCCCCCCAGAGTCCCTCAGCAGGTGTCAGCACAGCCAAAAATAAGAATTATATTTCTTGAGAGGAGGTTCAACAAAGGAGGCAACAGTGTGTCCCCCTCTAGTACGTTCTGGTCAAGAAGCCTAGATTTCTGAGTCCGAGTTGCTATGAACTTTTGGAGAGTCATATTATGTCTCTGGGCCTTGATCTTCCATCTCTGTACTACAAGTGACTGCATATGATGGGGTGCTCATCAAGACTGGAAACTGGCAAGTGCGCTCTGATCCCATGCATGGGTCCCGAGCTTTGATACTTAATGTGGCTTGCCTGGAGCTGGGAATGAGAGAGCAAGGACAATAGAGCCCCGACCACCCCGCAGAGGGAATGCAACATTGGGTTTCTCAGGAGGCACAGCTCCGCCTGGTGTGGTCCCCTGAAGATGATGTGGAGAAAACTGACTGCTGGGGGTCTGACTTCAGGGTCTCATGATGTTGACAGCCCCCAAATGTAAGTCTTCAGTCTTCCATGCCCCTGGTGCCCTCCCTCCCCCAACAAAAAGATAAAAATGAATTCTGCAAGGGTATCCTTGCATATTGGCTGCCGCCTCTCTACCTAACTGCTACTTGCCTCCTACTCGTCCCCTCCCTCAGATTCTCTGGTTAGTATTACAAAGGGGTGGGGCCGAGGTGACTCTTGGATACCTGTCTTCTAGCCCTGTTCTGTCAGATTCAATTTCCCCCTTTGACATCTAGGTCTTACAGTTTCTTCCTTGCTAAGGTAAGAACCGGATGGCATCGAGAACGGTTAAGGTGAGGAAAGATATGGTAGGGTCTTGTAGACTGCTAAGGCTTTGCCACTTGCGTTTGTGAGTTCTGTCTCTCTCTGTGCCCTTCGGTCATGTCTGCCCATTTCCCAGCCTCTTGGTCTCCAGCTGCAGTGTCGAGTATTTGGGGCTTCTATTTCGAGTATCTCAGGGTTATAATATTCATTATTATTTCATTTGTGGTCTCTGGGTGCGATCACAGGTATTAAGGTTCCAGGAGGCTGGAACCTCATTATTTTCTTACTGTCAAGGTCTCATGATGCTGACAGCCCCCAAGTGGAGTGATATTTGGAGCAAACAGGCAATTGGTGGAGCTCCCCACCGCTGAATGCTGTTCCTCCTAGGCCCTTCCTAGCCTTGAGTCTGGGTTTCTATAGTGGGTTTTGGATATGTAGGTATTAGTGGGCTATATATTCCATCTGTCTGTCTGAAACTCAAGCTCTAATGGTCCTCAGGCTTAGCAACCTGTCCTGTCCTGGAACCAGGTGACCTGGGCTGGGCTCCCTGCTCATTCATTTAACCTCTCTGCTTTAGTGCCCATCTGAAAAGAGAGAGAATAGTAGCATTAAACTCCTAGTGTTTGATCAGAACTGAATAAGAAACCTGCTATGGGCTGAGGTTGTGTGTTTGCCGTTCTGGATGGTGATGATGATGGGGACTATTTCTCTGGGGATTTCAGTAGCCCAATGCCTCTGCCAGAGATTCCACTCTGCCTATCCTTGCCATCTCCTGAGCCCCACTGTGCACCAGGTGCTAGGCGAGCAGTCTTGCCAATCCTGTACATTTCTTCTGTCTCCACCTGCACCTCTCAGGCCCTATATTTTGCTTAGCACCAGAATATAAAGTCTCTGAGGACAGGAATTTCCACCTGCCCTATACACTGCTGGGTCTCCAGTACCCACCATGGTACCTGGCACATACTAGCTGGTCATTAATGAATTAAACCCTTTCTTTTGCATTTAATATTTGTGTAACACATTTAATATATGCATGAGACATCAATATAAACATTTTATAATTTTAATTCATTGAGCTGGGCATGGTAACACATGGAGCACTTGAGAGGTAGAAGCAGGAGGCCAATAGAAGTTACATGAAACCCATTCTGAAGAAGCAAAGCAAAGGCTGTGCTGTGCATGGTAGTTCAGCTGGTAGACAGCTAGAGGACGTAAGACAAGCTTGAAGCCCTGGGTTTTACACTTAGCACCGCATAAACCAGGACAGTGGTACTCACTTGTAATCCCAGCACTCAGGAGGTGGAGCTAGGAGAATCAGAAGTTTAAGATCATCCTAAACTACGTAATGAATCTGAGGTCTGCCTGGACTACAAGAAAATGTAGGGGGAAAAAGCATTGGAAGCCACACGGCACTTCTGTGAGATGGGGGTGCTGTTTTGGATTGACCCTCTTCTCTGTGTTATGGGTTCTCTCTGCCATGCTTGCTGTGTTGGCACTGAGACAGACCTTAGTTCCCTCTTTCTACCTGCTTCGTCCCCAGGAGCCAAGGATAACCTTGGCTCTGTTAATGGCCTCTGTTCCCTCTGCAGACAGCACTCAGCCTGTGGTTTTCTCAAGCCCATAGACCACAGAGATGAAGCTCCAGCCTCAGGAGTGTGTTTGAGAGTTAGCATTTGGCCACCTTCTAGAGTTTCACCCAGGACCTCCCATTCCTCAAACTACCGTTGCTTCTGTGGCTTTACCTGACTAACAAGTCGAGGCCTCCCAGCCTATAGTGCAAATGTTCTCCGGGTCTGGAATCAACAGGCCTCCTAGAGGTCTCAGCCTGGCTGTCCCCTCCTGGACATGTATCAGACATTGCCCACTCTGATAGCCTCCTAAACCCAATCTTCTTCATCGCATGCATACTGTTCTTATGGGTGACACTGGGTCACCAGGCACTATTTCGTCCTTGAACTCTAGTCTAAGATGATAGAGGGGTCAGGTGAGCTGTTCAGGGGTAGTAAATATACACAAAGCCCTGGATTTCACCTCCTGGTTGCCCTGGGCACTGAAAAAACAAACAAGCCACCATACAGATGGGTCAAGTAACTTGTTAGAATGTTACACTGGCCAGCATAGTGGCTCCACTCTTTACTACCAGTACCTGGGAGGCAGAGGCTGACAGACCTCAGTGAGTTCAAGGCCAGCCTGGTCTACGTGGTAAGTTTCAGAACAGCCAGGACCATTGCTATGTAGAGAGAGAGGCCCTGTGTCAAAAACAAAACAAAAAACACAAAATAAAAAGAAAAGAAAGAAAGAAAATAACAACTGTGGGCAAGCATGGGTTTGTAAGCTTGGAAGCTGAGTCCTGAGGTGGCTAAAGCAGAATGAACATTCACGTTCGAAACCAGCCTGTGTTATAGACAAGAGTCTGAGCCGGGCGATGGTGGCGCACACCTTTAATCCCAGCACTCGGGAGGCAGAGGCAGGCGGATCTCTGTGAGTTTGAGGACAGCCTGGTCTACAAGAGCTAGTTCCAGGACAGGCTCCAAAGCTACAGAGAAACCCTGTCTCGAAAATTTAAAAAAGAAAAGAAAGAAATCTTGGGAAGACTTCTAAGAAGAGTTCCAGGGCTCAAAAGTTAAGAGCACATTCAAAAAGATTCAAATCCTCAACACCTAGACTAGTCACAACTGTGGTTCCAGTCATCCATGATAGCATACATATGGTGCACACACACACAGACAGGCAAAGCACTCCCACACGTAGAACAAGTCTACAGACAGACCCTACAACCACTGCTGTGCACTAGAGAATAGGAGAAACCTCCCCTGCGGTATTGCATGGTGGTTTGAAAATTTGTTAGAGTAAGAGTTTTAATCTACAGAGTTTCCATTTTATATGTATACATGTAAAGTATGTGTATTTGGTTTTTAGTGTGTGTGTGTGTGTGCGCGTGTGCTCTAAGAGGCTAGAAGGGCGTTAGATTTTCTGGAACTGGAGTTCCTGACAGTTGCGAGCTGCCAAGTCTCAGTGCATGGAACTCAAGCCCTCTGGAACAAGAAGCATTCTTCCCCACTGAGTCATCTCTCCATATCCTATATCTGCTTTTTAAGACTAAGTCTCACCGTACTGGGGATTATAGACGTGTGCCAGCTTGCGTGCCTCCTATTTGATTCTTTTAAAAAAATAATTTATTTTATGTGCATTGGTATAAAGGT